TGCACCGGCCAGGCACCAGTTCATGTAGCCCTACAAGGCATCCTATCTAAAACTCCATCTGACTAAGCCTATCTACTAGTATCGCCGGGGATTCCAACGAGATAGTGGTAGGATGTATGGAAGCTTGGCTCCGGTGGATCTCAATGGATTGAAGGCTAGATCTTGGCTAGGCTTCATGGGTGTCATGGCTTGAATCGATTGTTGTTCTGTTGGGTTCTTTCTCCAGCCCTCTTTTGGGGCTAGGCCTTTATACCCTTAGGCCCTCTCGTATCATAGGACTCAGTGATATACTAGGTAGTCTTCGACTCAATTTTGATCGAGTCTGAGTAGATCTCCCGTAGTTTTCCTTAAATAGGTCTTGCGTAGTTTTCTATAAAAATATTTGTGTTAAGTCTTACAGGTATGTCATATTTTCAACACCGACAATAGTCACTTTAAGAAAAAGAATAACGGTTAATTTACGGAATGGGTATGAAGGGGCTCAAAATGGAACATGGCAATATAGAAGATTAGATAAAACTTAGGACTATGAAAGAAGGTGACATCATGTGAATGTTTGTGACAGCATTGGGCGCGACCTGTGAGGTTGGGAAGAGAGGAGAGAAGAGGGGAAGAGGAGGATGAAGGAAGGAGGGAAATTTGGTCCAAATCTTTTTGCAAATTTATCCAAGGGGTAAGTAGTGTCATATTCCAACACCGACCAAATTGTAACAATGGTTTACAAATACATGAATTATAATCGCATATTTTGAAATAGGCAAATTTGTAATGGCATACATCCAAATATCCAAGTAACCCTCTGAAACAAACACCTAGCGCCAACAAGCAGGCACACTAATGTGTGGGGACGTTGGGGGAATCAACGACATCAAGCTGCTCAGGCCTGACTCGGTCCTCCAGTTGGCAAGCAGAGGGGGCAAGGAGAGCACCGGCGCTATGGTGGAGACAAAGAGAGGTGGCTAGTGGCAGCGAAGTAGATGGCAGTGGCGGGGCGGGCGTATGGTGCAATGGCGACTTGATGGAATCTAGCGAGGGCATGATGTCCTAGAAGTAGATCGAGGCCGTGCAATCCAATGATGAAGGTGCTCGGTTTGGCTCAGAACATGATGGTGACAGGCAAACAACAGTACACAAGAACAAAACCGCGTTCCCGGTGAACCGCTGCATGAATCATCAACATTGTGGAGGGTAAAGAGCATGAACCAACGGAGCACGTTGTGACATGGTAGGTTTTGCGAGAAACTCACCGTAGAGAGGGATCGACGAGGATGGAACTCGGGATGGCATGAATGGTGGCCGCAATAGATTTTAGCGTTCCCGAACGTGGGAGGATGAGAAATATGGCGAGAGGAGGTACCGACGGTGTCCTCGAGGATGAGGTCCTCTTAGTCCACCCACTCCCTCTCCGGCCCCTTCCGCCGGCACCTCATCCAAAAGCACAGTCAAACGAGGTCCAACCACTCTCTCACTAGCAAGAAGACCATCTCTACTAGGGGTGGAAAAAAAGCTCGGGCTCGTGAGCTCAGCTCGGGCTTGGCTCGAGCTTGGTTGGCTTGGCTCGGCTCGTAAGCCAAACGAGCCAAGCCCAAGCCTCCTTTCAGCTCGTTGCTGAAATGAGCCGAGCCGAGGTAGCTCGCGAGCCGCTTATTTTGGCTTGCAAGCCTAGGCCATTATGTGTTTATATCGATTATTTTACTTTTTATAGTGTTATTCTTTGTCAACTTGAAATTTATCATTAAGATTTTGAAAGAATTGAATATATAAACTTATTGAAATTTTACATGTTGTTGATTTGTTATTACTTTTTTTTAATAATTACAAAATATATATGAAGAGGTGTTTCAACAGGAAGGCTTGCAAGCCAGCTCGAGCTGGCTCGAGCCAGGAAACGAGCCGAGTCGAGCTCACGTTTTAGCTTGTTTCTCTAACTGAGCCGAGCCAAGCTAAACCTAGTTTGTTATGAGCACTGCAAGCCGAGCTTGGCTCAGCTCGTTTCCACCCCTATCTCTAGCGGTGGCACCTCCCTAAAGGTCCAACCTACCGCTGTTTCACCCTCGCTGACCATGGCCCCTCCCAATGCCGTTCCTCATTGAGTGATTGAGTACTGACGTGCCCTAGAGGTGAACAATGTGAAAGAAAAAGAAAGAGGGAGGAGGAAGAGGTGATGGGCCTCATCGTTTGGCTTTTTTCGTAATAAGCCAAAACGGCTTATTAGAGAATAAAAATGAATTTGTAGATAAAACTTTTATATATGTGTTCTCAGTGACTTAAAAGCCAATGCTGAAAAAGAAACTATGTTGAAAATATCTCAAAATTAATGTCAAAATTAAGTTAAAAAAAATCAATTTTTGGCTTTTTCTTTGGCTAAATAAGCCATCCGATGGGAGCCGATGACAAGTAGGCATTCAACATCGTTGGGGTAAGTCCAATGATGACTCAACACAGTTCGCATGCCATGTTAGGTGAAACCACCTGGATCATTCCACATACTCAATTTGCACTGGTTTTAGATGTTAAGAGGAGGCTTCATACTTGATTTGTTGGTTGAGGGACGCGGAAACAAAACCGAATGTATAGCTAATTTTGTGTCATTACAAGCTTATATGATTACAATAATAAAAAACACAAAATCAACTCTAAAATTAAATTTTAAAAATATAATTTTGTTTACGTTTGATATGGCATACCCGCCACGGCAGGTTCCCTCCCAAGGACCTAGTAGACCATCGTGAATTCGTGATTGAGTCGGAGTCCCAGCATCCTAGGGGCCAGTAGCAGTTGCCACTCCCTCCCGACGATGACCCAAAGCCCGACCGACCACGCCTCTGAGCTCATTGCTTAGCCCCCGGTATCGATTCGGCTGCGCCCTGAGTTCCCCTCCACATTTTAATTTTAATTGCATCCATAATTTTCCGTGAACAATTTTGACTATCTATCTTATTCGTAAAGCATTTGAAAATTTGAAAAACATAAGTCACATATACAGTACTCACTTTATCTACTTTTGATATCTATATTTTTAAATATGAAAAATTTACTTTTGATAGACATATTTCAATCCAACCACCTATCATCTTAGTGACTTTATTGGATTTAATGCGTGACTCTTTATTCTTGTACACAAGATTGGCTACATGGACATAGATAAATGCAAGTATTAATAAATCGCTTGTTTACGAGTAGCGTGTTTAAATGGATGTTAGAGCAAATTTAATTGTATAGCCAACTGCTAGCTCCAAATTATTTATAATCAATTTAATAGTCAATTCATACAATAGACACTTATAAACATATACTTTCACTATTAATATCTGGTCTTACCTATCATACACACATCGTGTCTTAAAGTTCGCGCTGTAGCTGGCAAGGATGTGACATCTCCACTTTATCCAGATTCGTTATACTAGAAAATATCATATTTTCTCTTAGGTTTATTTTTCTAGATGGAGGGAGTAAACGCGAAGCCCTGTCACTCTTCAATCAAAATTAAAACAAACACTGTCAAATTTCCCTAAACCGAATCACACCGCATCGTTTTTGTCTTGTCCATTTGCCTCTCGTCTTCGCTCTAGAGTTCACTTTTCAGCTGTTTCGAATTCTTCTCCATTCCATTTCCACCGCCATGGCTTCCCCCTCCGCCTCTCGCCGTCGCCGCGACCACGGCAAGCGGACCAGGCGGGGCGGCTGCCGGTCATCATCCTCAAGCGCTAATCTGAGCCTCCCCCGCGCGCCGCCGCTCTCTGGAAACCCTAACCCTTCCCCCTCCTCCACCACCAGAGGTCCAGCACCACCTCCGGTCGCCGTCTCGGCGGGCACGGGAGGAAGGAGGCGGAGGAGGTGGAGGGACTGGGCGGAGCTGCCGATGGACGCGATCCTGGCAGTCTTCCACAAGCACGACCACATCGGCATCCTGACGGGGGCTGGCGCCGCGCCGCGTCGCGTCGAGGCCGAGCTCTGGCGACGCATCTGACATGCGCGGCCACGCCGACCTCTCTTTCGTGCTCAACCTCTACGGGATGGCGTAGACCGCTGTGCGCCGGAGCGCGGGGCAGTGCGAGGCCTTATGTGGCGAGCACGCCGCCGACGAAGACGTGCTCACGTTTCCTCGGCGACAGGTGAGATTTTTCATCCCCCAATTTCAGGGATGTTTTTATTACTTGGTTCTCTGGTTAGACGATCGACCTCGTGCTTTGATTTAATTACCGATTAGATTTTTCATCCCCCAATTCCATTCAATTATATTTGCTCTGATACGTGTTCCAATTCATTTTTTTAGATAATGGATTAAAAACCCAGTCTCTACATCCAACGAGATGTACACAGCCAAATCTCGTTCCAATTCATGGCTAATTGTGTTCAATTGGGGTAACCTACGTAGTGCCAAGTACTATATATCGTAATTAGTTGCATACTTGCATTACATTTGGGTAGATATCAAGATCAGTAGTGGGTGGTGAACATTCAACAGTATGAACCACGTGGGAGGCTTGATTCATTCCTAATGTCCACGTATTTGTCTTGTGGAAGTCGGAATGGGAATATGGGATAGTTGATTAATTTCTTCATCTCGACAATACAAGTTTTACAAATAGAGCATGGGGATTGCTCAACATTGAAGTTCTTTACAGTGATGTTTTAGTAATAATCACCTCACAAGAAACAAAGGGCCTGACTGGAACAGGGGCGCTGCGCTAGGATTTTTTTTTCCTTTTTTGAGATAGTATTTTATCCTAATCTTCTCTTTCCAATTAGGTCATGTTTGGTTTGCTATTACCAACCTTTGACAATGTAGTAATCCAAACATACCTAACAGTATATAATACTTAATTAGCAGCTTATAAATATCCTTCTATGCCAAAATTTGATAAGTATAGAAACTGCTCCACCGAACAATTCATAATAATTCAGTCAGAGCATAGTCGCCGGAGCAGCGACTGGAGTACGGAGCAGGAGGAGCAATAGAGGATATGGTACTGTAGCTGATCTCAGGCTCTCTTCTCCTAGACGAGCACTGCTGGTGGTTTTAGGAAAACTATTGATTTCATATGGTATCTTGAAGGGCTAGGCACTTGACAGATCATTGAGCTGCCAGTGCCAGGCTTGTAATAACACCCATCATCTCCTTTTCCATCCTGCAGCTTCTCCATCAGCTCTGGTGCCATTCCAACAAGTTTCAGATTCTGGAGACGTGTGAGGTTCTCCATGCCTTTTGGTGAATCAGCTAGCTTGGTGCACTTGTCAAGCACCAGTTCATGTAGCTCAGCAAGGCATCCTCTCTGAAACTCTATCTGACTAAGGTTACTCAACTCATGCAAGGTGAGTGTCTGGAGTGCAGGAAAGCCACCTGCGGCAAAGGTCATCTCCTTCTCACGGTAGGCGGCATTGAGGCTAAGATGCAGAAGCCCTGGCAGCGACGAAAGAAGCAAGAGTGAATCTTGCGCAATTCCGCTCGCGATCAAATGAACCTGCTTGAGGCTTGTAAGGAAGCAGGTCCATCCTGGCAGTTTCCCTCTTGCTAACCTTCCAGACAAAGCAAGCTTCTGTAGCTTCCTGGGCGCTACAGTGATGGACTCCAAATCTATTACACTCTCCGTGTTACTGTTAGTGAGCCCCAAGCGTTGCAGGTGGCTCATTTTCAATATAGACGATGACAGAACAGCGGCAAAGCTTGCATCCACATCGAACAACTCCAGGCTCTTCATCTGCTCCAGCTTGGCTAAAGATTTGGAGATCATCTCATCAGCTCTGACATAATTTAGTGTCTGAAGGCTGGTCAGGTTTTGTAACCCTGCAGGAAGTTGTCCTACTGGCGTGCCAGGATAGGGCCTATAGTAGTCAGCGGCATGGCGCTTAAGCAGTATCAAGTGGCGCAAGCTCTTCAGTTTCGACAAGCTGCTTGGTAACTTTTGGACCATGGACCACTTGGTATCCAGAGTTTGCAGCTTCTGTAATTTGCCTAGATCCTTTGGAAGCTCTTCGATGAACGTAGATCGTATCCCAAGGTATCGCAAATTGCGAAGATTGGTCACTGTGCTGGGCAGCTTATTGATCTCGATGAACCATAGATTCAGCACAGTCAATAGCCTGAAGCAAGACATCAGCGAGGCATCAAGTTTTGAACCAAATGCTTGGAAGGAGCGAAGCGCGGCGATCTTCGCAGCAGATGCAGATCGCCTGCTGCTGGTGCATCTGTCGAGTGCGAGATGGCGAACCCTAATGTTAGAATCCATTGTTAGATCGCACTCCGCGAACTGAACAAACCCCTCTTCATGTTTGGACCTGTGATTGATCAAATCCTTGATGAGGTCATGGATGAGGAACCGCTTGGCACGGCCAAACTCATTCCTGACAGCAACCTGAAAGAGACTACGTTGTACCAATTTATCCAGGTAATGATCTGCGACATCCTCCATCGTCCTCCTCTCGCCATGTACTTCCTTTGCCTCGTCGATGAAGCCCTGCGCAACCCAGCTCCTGATCAGGATCTTCCTCTTGATCAAGAAGTCCTCAGGATATATGCTGCAACTCAGGAAGCATTTCTTCAGTTTGTATGGCAGATCGTCGATGCTCAGGTTCAGTATTCTGGAGGCCTCTCCAATGCCAAGATCTTCGCTGTTCTTGACCCAGGCTAGGCTGTCACGGACGTTCCTCCAGGCGAACTCTGTCCTATCCTTGTGTCTGAGGAGCTTGCCGACGGCGACGATGGCCAGCGGCAAGCCGCGGCACCGCTCCAGCATGTCTCCGGCGACCTCCCTGAGGTGGCTCGGGCACCTGTGGCCGGGAACATCCTTGAACACGACGCTGCAAAGGAGTGCCCACCCTTGGTGCGTCGGCAGCGGCTCCAGCGCCATTGTCCTCTCCGGCGCCGCGGCCATGGCGACTCCGCTCTTGCGCGTGGTGATCACCACCCGGCTCCCAGCGACGCCGTCGCCGTCGGGCATGGCGCGCTCCAGGCCGTCCCACAGCGTCTCGTCCCACACGTCGTCGAGCACGATCAGGTACCTCTTGTTGGCGAGACGCTCCCGCAGCGCCGCCACGAGCGACCCGTAGTCTGTGTCGCCGCCGCCGTCACCGACGTCGGTGGCGCTTCGCCGCCGCCGCCTACCAGTACCAGCACGACGACCGACGGTGTTCAAGTTCAACTTCCTGAGGATCTTCATCAGGAGGTCCTCCATCGTGAAGCGCTGCGAGACGGTGACCCACGCGTCGCAGTCGAAGTGGTGACTCGCCGGCGCCGCCGCCGGCGCCGTCACCTCCTTGTAGACGCTGGCGACGAGGGTCGTCTTGCCGACGCCGCCCATCCCGCACACGGCGAGCAGCGTCCGCCGGCGTGGCTCCGCCGCGTCCTCAGCCAGCAGCCATCTCACAAGCACTTCCCGGTGATCGGAGAAGCCGATGATCTCCTCCTTGTCCATGGAGCGCGCGTTCTCCGCCATCCTCCGGCCAGCGGCGACGGCATCATCTTCGCGGCGAAGCTCGCCGCAGCTAACAAAATTATTCATCACGTCGACGCGTTGCCGCTGGTAATTCGCCGCTTCCAACAGCTGGCCAAGCTTCTCCCGCACCTTGCGTAGCCTCCTCGAGAGGGCGATCCAGGTCGGGACGTTGGCGCAGTACCGCGCGAAGCCATGGCCGGAGCCGGAGCCGGAGAGGAAGCAGCACTCGTCGGTGATGTCGTCGAGCTGGAAGGCCACGTCACGGACCTGATTGGCCCAGCTATCAATGGGGTCTTGGTCGTCGTCGTCCGCGCCGCGGCAGGAGGCTCCTCCGCTGCGGAGGTGGCCGCGGAGAAGGCTGAGCTCATGCTCGGCGGCGGCGATGGAGGAGTGGACGCCGCCGAGGCCGAGGGAGGTGACGACGCCCATCGCCGTGCTGCGGGCTAGAGCCATGGCGACTTTTGCCGACAGAGATACGAGTACAGCTTCCGCCATGCCCGTCGCCGGCCTGATCGAGCAACTTGACGGTGATGCAGAGATCGAGAGATGGAGCTAGCTTGTGTTCGGTGACAATGACGTACGCCGGCGCCACCCAAAATAACATGATGGCCAGGAATTTTTGTTTTATTTCTTTTTAACCTACCAGCCTTAGAGCAGGTACAATAGCGAGCTATTAGCCAGCTATAAACATATTTTAATGAGATAAAAGATGAGAGATAAGAGCAGCGGGCTACAGATCTGTAGCCAACTGCAGTACGGACTCCAAGACGCAATGTGTGTATGACAGGTGGGACTATATGTTAATAGTATAGTAAGCAACTATTATATGAATTGGCTATTAGATCGGCTATAGATGAATTGGAGCTAGTAGTTGGCTGTATTAAACTTGCTCTAATAAGAGCAAGTTCAATAGTATAGCCCACTACTAGCTCCAATTTATCTATAGCCAATCTAATAACTCATTCATACAATATTGTATACATACTACACAATTATTACATGATCCCACCTGTCATACACACACTGTGTTTTGAAGTTTGTGCTATAGCTGGCTACAAATCTGTAGCCCGCTGCACTTCTCTCTTCTTATGTATCTCTTTAAAATATGTTTACAGCTAGTTTATAGTCTGCTATTGTACCCGCTCTTAGCGTGACAAAACAACACTATCATGCCGCTATCGCCAGCATGGCACCGTTATTTGGTCACGCTGGTCTCGTTGACGTGTCAGGATAAAACTGTTACGTCTGCTGTACAAAACATGTAGTGTTGTTTTGCCACGCGACGTGTTGAAAGGTTTAGATTTTGAAAAAATATTTTTGGAACGGTTTATTTTAAAAATTAAAAAGGTTTAAAAAATTTAAAAAAAAAATCGATGTCCAGTGCCTTGCTCGTGCGTGCAATCCGATGCCATCAAGGCATCGAAACCAACGTCTCCATTAATTCTCGCATCACAAGAAGCAATGCTCTATCTACAACTAGGCATGGTCAACCAAATTGCAACATGAGAATCGTTGGGGAAAGAAAAATGCTCAACGTGCATGATCTGCCACAAGGGAAGAAAGATTATGCTAGCTAGTACAGTAGTACTGAGATTCCACGGAAAGACCAACTCAATGATCCAAGCGCGAACCCCCGGCTGGAGGGGAATTGAATATGGCCTTGAATTGTTGAAGAAAGGAATTATTTGGAGAATTGGAAATGGTCGATCTGTCCGTGTCTGGAGAGACCCATGGGTGCCTCGCAATTTTACCAGAAGGCCAATCACTGGGAAACGTAATTGCAGAATAAAGTGGGTTTCTGAACTTTTGACAGAAAATGGCGCTTGGGATGCTGAAAAGGTGAACCATATTTTCCTCCCCATTGATGCTGAGGTAATCTTACAAATGCTGATTTCTTCTAGAGATGAGGAGGATTTCATTGCTTGGCATCCTGATAAATTTGGGAGGTTTTCTGTTAGAAGCGCATACAAGTTAGCACAGTCGTTGGAGCAAATGGAGGAGAGAGCTAGTTCAAGTGCTGCATCCACAACTATCCCCTGGAACCTAATTTGGAAATGTAATATCCCTCAGAAGGTTAAAATCTTTGCATGGAAGGCAACTACTAACTGTTTAGCAACTATGGAGAATAAAAAGAAAAGGAAGATGGAATCTTCAGATATCTGTGTTATATGTGGCAGGGAGAAGGAGGATACAAGACATGCGCTCACCAGGTGCCCACTTGCTCGGGCTCTTTTGCAGGCTTTGCAGGAGGATCACTGTTTCATTTCCAACAATTTAGCTTCTACTGATTATGGCCATTGGTTGTTTGATTGCCTGGAGAACCTGGCGGATTCAGGGCGTTCTTTGCTCCTGATGGTGCTGTGGCGGAACTGGTTTAGTCGTAATGAAATCATGCATGGGAAGCCTGCACCCACGATTGAAGCGTCTAAGAATTTCCTGCTGAGTTATGTCAATACACTCTTGGAAATCAAACAGCATCCCCAGGCTAATCAGACGAAGGGCAAACATGTGATCAATTATTGGGGTTTCAAGAAGGATAGTCAGCAAAGACTGAACAATGGATGCACTACCGACTGGGAGAAGCCGCAGCAGGGTTGGATGAAGGTTAATGCTGATGGGTCATATGATGCACAAACGGGGACTGGAGGTATCGGAGTGGTGCTTAGGGACTCGGAAGGAAACGTGATTGCTGCCTCCTGTAAGCAGCTGGCCAGTTGCCGGAATGCACTTGAGGCGGAACTCCTTGCTTGCAAAGAAGGAGTTGTCCTTGCGTTACAATGGACCCTCCTGCCGTTTGTGCTCGAAACGGATTGTTTGGTGGCAATACAAATGATCCAGTCCAAGAAGAAGGATATGTCTGAATTAGCGTATCTTATAAGAGAGGTGAAAGAGCTTCTTGGCAGTAATAGAGAGGTCAAGATTTGTAAGGCTATACGTAGCCAAAACCAGGTTGGTCATAGTTTAGCGAATAAAGCCCGGTGTGATTCTTTGTCCGGTCTGTGGACTGGGAATGGCTGTAATTTCATTTCGCGGTTGGTCTTTGAAGACGCCGTGTCTAAGTAATATATGCCTTTTCCCCGAAAAAAAAAATGATCCAAGCGCGAAGCAAACAATGCAATGGTGGTTTCAGAAACCTCGGGCGCTAAATCTATCGACGATGGCCGCAGCGAAGCTGCTCTAGTTTGGCATGAACAGTTGACAAAGGAAATAGTTAATTCGTTGACTCCCGGGGCTAATTACTCAAATCCACTACTCTCTCCGTCCCAAAATATAAGTATTTTTAGACTCTGACATGGTCTTCGAGATGTTCATTTTATCAACAATATCTATAAAAGTAAAATGTTTTAAATAATAAGAGTTGTATATTATGATAATTTGTTTAATAATAAATATAGTAACATCAATTTTACATGATTGATCATTTTTATTTTTTTTCTATTAATAGTCAAAGTTAAAAATGTTTAACTTGTTATTATGCTAAAAATGCTTATATTTTGAGATGGAGGGAGTATTTTTTTTACTCGTTCAAGATACTCCATCGATTCCAAAATACAAGTATCCATTTAAAATATAAGACATAACTGACACTAATACTAACCCAAAGACAAAAAAAAAGAATTATTAGCATCTCTTCGTTTGGATCACCCTAATAAATACCATACATGCATCCAAGAAATTACAGATATTAGGGTTAGGGGAATTTAAAAAATAAATTTATAGAAGGGGAATGTGCTAGTTAATTGCATATATGCATGTGCTTTTTTATCTACATCCTAAAATATAGGGTGCAACTGCTTTTTTTTCCCAACATTTCATAATGCAATGCGCGCATACATGCATGGAATTAATTAGCACCTCTGATTCCCTTAAAATATTTTTTTAAAAAAAATCCACTAATCTCAAGATCTCTAATCATATTATGTGCATACATTTTATTACAGCAAGTTTAATAGGATTCAAAATCATCTATAGCCAATTTAATAGTCTATTCATACAATAGTTACTTATAACTATATACTACAATATTAATACATGGTCACATATCTCATACACATATAACATTCTTGAGTCCATGCTACGACTGGTTATAAATTTTTAATCCATTTCTCTTATCTCCTCTCTTATATTCTCCACATGTGCTTATAGTTAGTTTGTACTTGCTCTTATTACGATGATCCAAATAAGGAGGTGATAATATTTTTTCTTGATAGTTACATTTGTGTAGTTGTGCCTTGTATATTTTAAGATGGAGGGAGTAGATTGCAAGGCAAATCTTCTAATTTTTTACTCCCTCTGAAGCAACTTTTCTGGCTACTGATACATCTCGACCAATCACAAACCATATCTTATTTAATTTCTCCACTTTTCTATCTCAACCAATCATAATCATCCTTAATTTAATTTGACCTCCCCTTAAACCTCGTGAAAACTCTGAGAAATGCTAATTAAGAAAGTAACTTTCTCTAATACATATTCATGGAAAAGCATTATTACAAATATAACTACACAAAAGCATTTTCTCTACAAATCAATTGCTTCATCTGTTTCGTAACATTTCCTCCGTTTCATAATGTAAGACTTTCTATGTATGTATGTATGTATGTATGTATGAATATGGGCAATGCTAAAAAAAAAATCTTATAATATGAAACCGGAAACGCTCATTATCGAGCGACCGACGCGAGGTGTCATTATCGGATGCTCCCCCACCCCTAGACGCCGCGTGCCCCCCTGCCCCACCATGTGTCCTGCCCCCCACCTACCAAGTGTCTAAAAAAAATGTTTCACCTAGTATACTCACAATGTTTCACTGTGTATAGATCTAATGTTGCAGTGAATTGAAAATATTCTTTTGCAACAAATCACCCACATATTTTGGAAACCCTCTATTAAGGGAATTCACTTCTTTTTTTTCCACCAAAAATGTTTCGCCTAGTGTACTCACAATGTTTCACTATGTATAGATCTAATGTTGCAGTGAACGAAATATTCTTTTGCAATAAATCACTCACATATTTTGGAAACCCTCTATTAAGAGAATTCGTTTTATTTTTTGTTCCACAAAAAAATGTTTCATTATGTATGGATCAAATGTTGTAGTGAACTGAAACATTATTTCGCTATTTGCTGAAACATTGTTTTTATATAAGGTAAAACAACGCCCGATTTAAAATATTGAAACATTTTCGATCTACTTAGTGAAACAATTCTGATATACCTAGTGGAACATCGTGCAACATTTAGGCTGTGTTCGGGAGTGAGGGTTGGGAACCCTCACTCTCCAGCACGCAAAACGAAGCAGCGTTTAGCACGTGATTAATTAAGTTTTAGCTAATTTTTTTTTCAAAAATGGATCAATATGATTTTTTAAAATAACTTTCGTATATAAACTTTTTACAAAAAACACACCGTTTAGCAGTTTGAAAAGCGTGTGCGCGAAAAACGAGGAGGAGATGTTGGGAACTACTCCTAACGAACACAGCCTTAAAAATAATTCAATAATAAGCCAAAAAAAATTTCGTCGGAATATATTTATGTGTGGTCTTGTTTTGAAGATTTAATTGCAACGAATTTAATGGTACAATTGGATCATGATTTGAATAAATAATTTAAGAGAAAAAATAGTTTAAAGTGTTTTTGCACGCATACGTGGCGCTTATCCCCCTTCCATCGGACGCCCGACCGGGAGTCGCGTCCATATGAAACGGAGGGAGTATTTGGTAATTTTAACTGATAGTTGCTTTAGTTTGACCATTGATATATTTTAAGTTGTCTGATTATGGTAAATGTGATTTTTATGCTTATATTTTAACATACATCAGTAATGTATTCCTTTTGATACCTCCAAGTCTATTTATAAAATAGAAGTGGTCAAACCATAACAATGTCAAGTCAAAATTGCCAAATAAAGTATTATGAAACATAGTAATATGATTTCTAAACATCAAAGGTTAATAGTTTTGTATATGTTAGTGATGTGAGATTTTTCGTATTTTATTATACTCATACGCATCCTAAAATGCATATATTTATGAAAATAGAGTAGAAGTAGTACTCCGTTTCTAAATATAAGATATTTTGGTTGGATATGACACATCCAGATTTGTTGTACTAGAATGTGTCACGTTCAACCAAAATCCCTTATATTTAGGGACGGAGGGAGTAACAAGTACAAACAAGGTCAATGGGGAATAACCAAATGATAATCATAGCGCGAGCGTTTTTTTTAGGCCGGGGAACATACCATATACTGATAGAAGTGTGCCATTATCTTGTTCTGGCTGTAGGCACATAGTCATACACCACCATACCGAATTCAGAGGGAACAGGAACCTGTCCAAGTAAGATTTAACACTACCGACACCGTTGTGAATAACTTGGTAGAGAGTACTAAGAAGACAAAAGAACAGAAAAATAGGCTGACCAAGTTGCTAAGCAATCTTCCATTAAGTGGTGACACCCCAGAGAGCAGCAGATCCAGTGAACCATGCAGAAGTACCACCATACGCATGGCATTCATTTCAGGAACGTGCGCATAGTCTTGAGCATCATCCGATCTTCTTCATCGAGCTCGCCCTGACGCGACGCCCTCATAGACACCATCAAGGTAGCGGTAAGGGTCACAGTAGTCATCGTACTCATCTGAGTCAAGAATATAGTCGGGGCCACCATAAACACAATCATCATCACTGTCAGAGTAGAAGTCAGCAAGCGAGATAGGCTTCTGAACTTGGAAGTCATAGTCATCAGTTGAGTCATAGGGAAGCCTCAGTGTCTTGATCCTGGCACACTTTGCTCGCAGGGTGTCATCCATATTGACATTGAAGCAATGACGAATGTCGAGGGATTCCAGGTAGGGGCAGTTGTCAAGGATAGCTGCCAGACCTTCATTCCTGAGATTATTAGCAAAAAGCTGCAGAGACCGTAGCTCATGCATAGTTGCAATACCTAGGGCTTCCTCGTCCATCTCGTATTCATTATCTTCAAAGCTGTAGAAGCAGTCTTTACTAAATCTGAAGCGCTTCAGCTGTGGGCATGCTTTGCCAACAATCTCAAACACATTGCTCTCACCTATATTTGAACAAAGCGAAAGCTCAAGCTCCTCAAGCAGTGGAAACTTCTTTATGGCTGCTGAAAATCCTTCATTGAGGATATCATAGCAAGAGATCAGACGAAGACTCTTCACAGATGGTGCTCTGTAAATATAGGACTAGGGTATGAATTAACAATTATAGAATGAAGAACATTCGTTAAGAAAAAAAGGACAATGATGTACAAGACGTAATAGTACTGTGTCATCCTTTCTAGACTTGCTAGAAGTTGCAGTTAACTGCAACTACATTTCCCCTAATAGGACATGTGGAAAACATTCAGGTACTTTAGAGAGTAATCACACATCATCACAGTTCTAGCATTTAAAAGGGTTTAGTGACAGGAATTCTCTTGATCGCCACATTTTGCATGTGGAAGAGGAACATTCAAGTATCGTAATGGTGCCCTAGAGTGCAATTTAAAATGATTCAACAGCAGCACCAAATAAGAATTCATGTGAGTTCATTCAGTTTAACTAGACACATGATGAAACGTAATCTCCAGTTGAAAAGCTCTCTCACAATTGCATTCTATTATTTTGAATCCGACTGAAGATGTACCTTGTCTTGACCAATTAATTGTGTCAGGAAACCTTCAATCATCAAGACATCAGCCCATAAGCTGATGTGAGATATTACCTTGTGTCTCGTGAAGACAACTAGCTAAATGCAAGTCTAATGTTTCACTATGTATAGATTTAATGTTGCAGATCAATTATTCTCGAGATGAAGAGATTAATCAATTATTCTGCTGCGACTCCCAGAAGACAACTATGTGGACATTACGAATCAAACCTCTTGCGTGAGGGACACTGAAAATATCGAACCAGAAACAGCTGTCTGTCATTTGTTCACTATCTATAACTGATCTTGATATCTACCCAAATGTAATGCGACTAATTACGAATTTATGATATATTCCCTCTGTTTCATATTATAAGTCGGTTTAACTTTTTTCTGGTCAAGCATTATTAAGTTTGACCAAATTTATAGAAAAAATTAGCAACATCTTAAACACTAAATTAGTCTCTACTTTGATAATATGTTTGCTTTACGTAAAGTTTAACTAGTAAAAAAAGTCAAAACGACTTATACTATGAATCGGAGGGAGCATTTGGTGCAAACTAGGTTGCCCCAATTGAACTGTTATGACTTACGAGAAGCATCCATGATGCCCAATTATAGACGAGTCTTCCAGTGTTCATTAATCATTATGGATTGTTAGTTCCAGAATCCGAGGGTCACTCAAATGAAAGGGCGAGCTCAATAGATAAATCACAGAATGGAGCGCAATTGGGGGGATAAAGAAATCTCACCGTTCGCCGAGGAAATGGAGCAATTTTTCGTCGGCGGCGTACTCGCCCCAGAAGGCCTCGCACTGACCCGCGCTGCGGCGCACAGCGGCCTGCGCCATCCCGAAGAGGTTGAGCTCGAAGGAGAGGTCGGCGTGGCCGCGCATGTCGATGCGCCGCCAGAGCTGGGGCTCGTCGCGCGCGGCGCGGCGCCAGGAGCGGCACACCTGCCCGGCCCCCATCAGGATCTCGATGTGGTCGAGCTTGTGGAAGATGGCCAGGATCGCGTCCAGCGGCAGCCCCCCCGCCCAGTCCCTCGCATCCCCCTCCTTGCGCCCGCGGCCGCGTCCACGGCCACGGCGGTTGCGACGGCGTCCAGAGGTGGTGGTGGTGGTGGAGGAGGGAATCGTGGGGTGGGGCTGGGGTTTGTGAGGGTTAGGGTTTGGGAGAGAAGAGGCGCGAGGGGCAAGGCGGAGCTCGCGGACGCGGAGGATGTCCGGCAGCTCCGACGGTGGGTAGTCGGGCTTGCCGGCGTGGCGGTGGCGGTGGCGGCGACGGCGAGAGGCGGCGGAGGAAGGCATGGCGGTGGGAAGCGGAACGGAGAAAGAGTCGGTTTAATTTTAGAGAAAATTCGATAGCACACGAAAGAAATCGGTAAAAAAACAATAGCACAAGAACTTTCCACTTTTCATCCATAGCACAGGCCACCAGTTTTTCTTCGCTCCGCAGCACTTTCGTCAGGTTCGGAATTGTGATGGAGTGTTCAGCCATGAGAGTTCAAAATACTAATTTGCCCCTAGTGCCCATGTGAGGATGCAGCCATCCATCCATCCACCCAGCCCACACTCCTCGGCATGCGTCCGTCCTCGTGCTCGTGCGCGCGTCGACGAGCTAGCCGGCCCGGCAAACCCAAGGCCTCCCCTCGCCGACGTTGTCGCGCCCGTGTCACCGAGCTAGCGCTCTTCTCCCTCGCCGACGTTGTCGTGCCCGTGTTGCCGACGCTCGGTGAGCTGACGGAGCTGCGCTTCCCGCCCGCTCGCTCGCTCAACCGCTCTCGATTGGTGCCCGCCACCACGCCTCCCACTGTTGCCCGCGCAAGATCCGCCGCGCCGCCGCCGGATCCGCGTGCGTGGGGTGGAGCACCGGCCAGATCCGTATGGGAGGAAGGCAGTGGAGGAGGAGGTGGAGACGTCGCGCCTCTGGCCCACCGGCTCCCGGCCACCTACTCGTCGGCGGCGGCGCCGCCCGAGGTTGCCGAGCCGACAAAGCCCACCACTGCCGCTCGCTCGCCGCCCGCTCACGAACCATCCCAACCTCCGGTACGTCAACCTCAGCGGGAACTTCCTCACCGACACCATCCCGCTGAGGCTGCTCCACGGCCGCGCCCACATCCCCAGCGCGCGCCATAGCCCGCCTGCAGAAGCGGCAGGTCATTGTCCCCGTCGCTATCGTTGTCATCACCGTCGTACCCATCACTGTTGTCCCCATCGCTGTTATGTCGTCGTCGTCGTCACGTGGAAGCAGCGGTGAGCCGGCACAGCACCGTGACGAGGGAGAGCCAGTTCTGCAGCGCTAGGGCCACATCCATCCACGCCGACGCACGGGCCACATCCATCCACGCCGACGCTAGGGCCGCCCACATCATCGTCGTTGTCCTCGTCAAGCGGCCGCCGACGCGGGAGGCTCTCGATCAGCAGCGCCAAGCGCCAGACGGGGTCCACCTCACCGTCGGCGGCGACGGCGAGCCACACGTCCACGTCGTTGAAGAGCACCGCAGCTCGCTCAGCGATGGTGGGGAGACGAGGCGGTCGTGCCACCGTCCACGAGGGAGTGGAAGAGGAGACCTGGTGGGGAACGAAGGGCAAATGAGTCCGACAAAAATTTTCTCCACTCCAATCTAACGCCGTTACTTCAAAATGCGATGGAAGTGCTACGAGGCGAAGAAAAATTGATGGCCTATGCTATAGATCGAATGTGGAAACTTTTTGTGTTATTTTTTTGGTACCGCTTTCTTTCCTGTGCTATGGATCAAAATTTCTCTTAATTTTACTATTTGGAGTAAAATTTGCCCTTTATTACAATTGTTTCACTTTGGATCACCCAAAAACAAATGTTTTCACTTTGAACGGGATAAATTACCTTATGACACTTTCGACCATACTTATCTGTCTGCATTAACTTATTATATGTCAAAGCTAGTCAAAATATGCTTGAGAAGAGAGTCAAGATGATCTAAAGAAAAACAAAAGGTAAGATTACTCAATCCAAAGTGAAAACATTGCTTATGGGGTGATCTAAAGTAAAACATCAGTAATAAAAGGTGACCCCTAGAGAAATTTACTTAAAATAGAATCATTGTGAATGAAAGGTAAAATCTTAGAGCAAGACAACCTCCACTCATCTAAAATCCAAACTCCAAATTATAGGTGCAGAGGCTGCATGAATTCTCTGCAATATCTATCAAACGTCTCCAAAAAAAAAAAAAACTACACTCGTAGTAAGCGATAATAATCTCTCTTTTAGAACAAACTAATTAAAGAGAATAGTAATCATGGAGGTAGGTGTACTGGGTGATATCGTCACAGTTCACATTGCTCAGGTCAGGATCACGGCCATCATCTGAAGGAAGTGAGATATCATCCCAGTAAACATCATCCCAACCATCCCCCATCCCTGCATCCTTGGAAGGGTAGCAAAACTCCTTGGACAATCCATCAGAGAGTTCATCTTCAGGCCTGAATTCTTGGCCTTCGTCCTCGCCGATGACACGGAGCTCCTTGAAATTGCTCCACCTGCAGCCTTCTGAAAGATTGAAATGCCTGAGACTGGCCCATCTTGCCCGGAGCTGGTCATTTGGGGATACGTTGTTGCAGCTGTCAAGAATGGCGAGGACGCCGGCGTTTGTCAGAGTGTTGTTTGTGATCTGAAGGATACGCAGCTCGTGCATGCTCTCTGCAATGGCGAAGGCGACGCCGTTGTTATTGGATGGCCAGTCCCAAGGGCCATATTCGAGTTCATCTTCTTCATCATCGTCGTCGTCGTGGTCGCCAATAACTTGGTCCATCAGGTCATACTTGGCATCGTCATACACGAAGCCGTCATTGTTCACCCGGAGACACCTCAGCTGTGGGCACTTGCAACCAAGGTGTTCGAAGAATTCTTCAAGGGAATCTCTGTAAGAGTGCTCTAGGTCCTCCAGCAACGGAGATTTTGCAGCAAGATTGACCAGTTCTTTCCATGGAACACGTGTGTATGCAATCAGTCGGATGCTCTTCAGTGAAGTTGTCCTGCAGAGACATGCATGTAGGCATTAAATTTAAATGCAGTAATCAGGTTGTTTAATTTGGTGAAGTGTCAACAGGAGAGTTAGATTCGGATATCATTTTTTTTTTGTACATAATCAGATGCAGAGCGTAACCAGAGAAATGATCAAATGACATGTAAAGCCGATAGTATGTGAGGACACATGAGAAATATTTGACATCTGGATATTGCACATCATGACAAAATGACATGGACGATATTTTCATTTTACATTAAGCTGCAGTCTTATATTATTCAGTTCTACTACAGTGGTTGTAGAAAGGCAACTCTCTCTGAAGTTCACTTGTTAATTAGTTATCCTTTTTCCTTTTACAGAAGAAATTCTAAATTCATCTTGTTTTGAGGCGTTGCAGTCATTATGAACATGATATCAAGCTTAGTTTGAGCAAACACAGAATGGTCATAGAGCAGAAACATAATTCCCTTTTCTTTTGTTCACTTTTCCTAACTACGAGTTGTTCATCTGATACAAAATATCTGACAACTATAACATGAATGCAGGACATAATCAATTCTCTGCATTAAATATAAATAACAGTAGAACTATTTTTCGAAAAAAAAAACAGTGAAAAGAATTTAGCAGGAAAGGTTTACCTCTCCCCGATGTATTTCAGTAGATCAGAAGTCACAAAATTCTGAGCCCAAAACGACTCGAGCTTCCCAGCAGACCGATCCACAGCCACCCTAGCCATCGCGCACATGACACCGATGGTCTTCTTGAAGATCACCTTATGGCGCGTCATGTCGAGAGATCTCCACAAGTCAGGGACCTTGGCAGCCTCCAACCATGAGTGGCACACAAGGCCAGCACCCATCAGAATCTCAATGGCCCCAATCTTGGCAAAGAATACAGAGAGCGCGTCGACCGGTAGCTCTGACCAATCCCTCTCATCTGGTGCAGGCAAGCGGATTGAATCAACCTCCATTGCAAGCGGCACGAAAAACACCTGAAAATGGTTTGAGAGATCAGCACTCATGGAAAAACCTGAGATTCAGTGCAGTTACAACTACTGTTCTGTCAGGGCTCTGAATGATTTATTGATCATTCACTCAATAAAAGGAGAACCATGTGGTAAATTTATGACTAGCATAAAACTCTGATTGTTCAGTTAACCTGTCATGGAGCGCAATATGTATATATATTTTTTCAGGAATGCACAAAGGAGTTTTACGTATCTATAAATTAAGGAGGACAAGAACAAAGTTCAGAAGACAATATGGTTTTAGAGTAGGGAGGTTAGAAGAATTATTTTCTCTAAGAGATAATCCATAAAATACCATTGACAAGCGTCCAAGTCCCAGAAATACCATCGACAAGTGTGAGTTCCAAGAAATACCATCGTACAAACGATTTTGTCCCAAAAATGCCATCGCCGTTAGGGTTCCGTCCATTCCACGCTGTTAAGTTCTAAAGGATGAACAGTGTATTTAACGGCGCAGAATGGACGGAACCTTAACGGCGATGGCATTTTTGGGACAAAATCGCTTGTACAATGGCATTTCTTGGAACTCACACTTGTCGATGGCATTTCTGGGACTTAGATGCTTGTCAATGGCATTTCATGGATTATCTCTTTCTTAAAATACACAAAGCATTGCACATCATTGTACTATTAGGATTCCTGCTACAAAGAAAGGAAGTCAGTAGGTTCATCGTACTAAGACAAACAAAGAAATTTCAGGCATCCTGGCAACAATACCCTGTTCACAGATAAATAAACATGTTTTTTTTTTCACGAACGCCAGATAAATAAACATGTACTCCTTGGGATAAGGAGTAAGCATGTAGCGACTGATAAAAGAAATTGACGAGTGTTCAGATAAAGGGAGGTTTCATTGGGATTTGGTTTCAGAATGCAGATAGAAAATCACCCCCAACTCAAACAAGCACTCAGACTACAGCAGATTTCATTAATCAGAACCAAGCACCAATTAACACGGACGTCCCTACACTTCAATCAGAGATCAAACCTAGTTTCTAGCCTCTCGTAACGCACGATCGACCCACGTCTTAATCAACCAACGGTAACCAACTCATCTGCAAGATCCAAACGAGCAAGTTACTGGCGAGGATAGAGATGAGATGAGGCCGTACCTTCGCCCGCGGCAGCGGCGGCCGGGATGACCGAGAGGAGAGAGGATGGGACGGAGAGCTTCGCCTGGGCGTCTCTCCGGCGAGATTTTGGAGGGCTTGAAATCTCGGGAGATTGCTCGATGGTTTTTATGGCGGAAAGAAATGGAATTCTACGTGATTTGTGGGCGGGTGCGGTTTGGGCTCGTCTTCTCCTTCAGCGCAGATCAAAACCGCACAGAAGCCGGTAGATATAATCTTGCGCCGTTCGATGGACCATGTACGGCTGTGATGGTGACACGCGTGCAGAGTGGTGGGTCAGAGTACGGTTGATCTGAGCGGTTGATTTTGATCGGACGGGTGGAGGAACTGCACGTCGTGTAGTTCGTGATCTGAGTGGAAGTTGGATGGCGCGGTGGGGAGGTGTTTGCGCGGGAAGAGAGGTTTTCGCTTTTGGACGATAAGTGGGCCTGAATGATTTGGGTTATTTGATGGGCTCTGGGCCTCTTGATGGGCCTTGGCAAGGTAGTAAGAACCAAACGACACGAGATCTTCAGAAATCAGAACTAGTGTTGAATATGAATCAATATTTTTTTTATTTTAAATTCTTCTCAAACGTATTGGTTGTGTTCCCATAGGCAAAGGACGGAGATGTAACCTATTTCCAATATTAAAAAAATAAACTGAATTTTTTTCTGGATATGTAGTACCTGCAAATAATATATTGACGTGTAATTTTTTTCACGTTCGTGAAAAAGAATTGCAGTACCTGGCAAGAAAATGTATGCGCTGCAGCAGCAAAGCATCCGTCCCATGCTCATTGACCTGAGGGATCTCTTCGTGGTGGACAAATGTAACAGATATATAAGTAGCTAAGGCCGTGTTTAGTTCGTAAGTTTCTTTTTAAGTATACGGACACACATTTAAAATATTAAACGTAGATTAATAATAAAATAAATTATATATTCCGTCTGTAAACTACGAGATGAATTTATTAAGCTTAATTAGTCTATCATTAGTAAATATTTACTGTAGTATCACATTGTCAAATCATGGTGTAATTAGGCTCAAAAGATTCGTCTCGCAATTTACATACAAACTGTGCAATTGGTTTTTTCAATCAACATTTAATGCTTCATGCATGTGTCAAATATTTGGTGTGACGTTTTTGGCCAAAATTATTTGAAATCTAAACACACTCTAAATACCACAAAATTCATACTAAAATAGAGCAGCATATTCTTTAAAAGAAATTGCGAAGCGCATGTTTTGCAATTGTAGCAGACAATATATGAAGTTGGTGGCCTGGTGGGTGAACTCGTACAGTCACAACTAAGCTGCCATGCTAGACTGAGCGTCGATTAAATTCAATTTTAGGACTTAGGCTTTTTGTTTAGTTGGGGAAAATTTTTGGGTTTGGTTGTCACATCGGATATACGGACACACATTTGAAGTATTAAACGCAGTCTAATAATAAAATAAATTACAGATTCCGCCACTGCGAGACGAATTTATTAAGATTAATTAATCCGTAATTATCAAATATTTACTGTAGCACCAAGTGGCGAATCCAGAAAATCGATTCGTTGGTGTCATAATGTGTCTATCGGTGTGATAATATGCTAATTATGTTTAGATCATGGTGCTATAATATATGGATAAGCAATTTTGCTATAGGTTTTACCAAAAGTCGTCGGTGTCATCTGACACCGGCCCCAGTCCTGTAGATCCGCCCCTGGTAGCACCACATTGTCAAATCATCACGTAATTAGGCTTGAAAGATTTATCTCGTAATTTACACGTAAATTGTGTAATTGGTTTTTTTTTGTCCACATTTAATACTACATGCATGTGTCTAAACATTTGATGCGATGGACGAAAAGTTTTTTGTTTTTGGAACTAAACATGGCCTTATTATTTGGTTTGGAGGAACTTCGCTTCATAGGAATAGAGAAAAAAAAATAGAACCGCATACACATCAATCCTTTTAACTTTAATGTTAAGGAGAAACGGGGATTATATACACGTACTCTTTCCACCCCGCTCAAATGCAATGTGTATATAATAAGATTGTATTTAAAACTAAATACTAGATTAATAACATATTAGGATAAATCCAACGTCCATGCTTGAAGATGTTGTCGAAGTGTGCAATTCTTAGATGCGAAGTGCATGTTTGTAATTATAGCAGACAATATATGAAGTCGGTGAGCGAACTAGTACAGGCACAACTAACTAACTAAGCTGCCATGCTAGACTGAGAAGTGAGAACCCCGGTTAAATTCAATTTGGATGAATTTTAATTGATAGGAATAGGAAATAAAGTAATAGAAATGCATGCATACCGCAGTTTATAGGATATTAATTTTTTTTTGTTCTCTCTACAAAGTTGTAGGAAATAAAAGTTTCTTTGGTTTTTCTATACTTAATTCCTACAAACCGAATGACCCTTAGGAATACAAATAATTTATTTTCCCTCCAAACCGAACAAGCCATAACAAGAACAAATTAACAAATTAAATCGATCACAGAACACAATGCTGCACAAAAACAGCCTAACCTGGTATGTAAGGGTATTTTCAAGAGGATGAAATAATAAAAGGGAAAGCAAAATAAGATCATGATAAGATTTTCGTCTAGCTTTCAGATTCATGTCCAACAAGTAGACTGATTAATTTGAGCAGCTTAAGCACAAGGCAATAAGCTCGAGAAGATACATTCTGAACTGAGCTTTAATTTCAATTCAGCAGCTCAGGCATAAGAACGAGCAGCCTGAGAGGACACGTACCTAACATCCGAACAGTAGTCATCATCACTCCTCACCATCCGGCGAGTATATGAAAGACTGAAATAGGAGGGCCGCGGTAGTCATAATCAAAAGTAGTCAGCGTAGTCATCAATGAAGTCACCGTATTCATCAATTTGGTAGTCACAATAAGCATACTGATCACCATCGTGAGACAAGGAGAGCGGCAGCTTCACCGTCTTGATTCCGGCACACTTGGTTCTCAGGGCGTCGTCGACGTCGAGCTTGTAGCACTTGCTCACATCAAGAAGCTCAAGGTGAGGACAGGCATCAATGATGGCCATCAGCTCTTCGTTGCCGATGCAGATGCTCCCAAGAATCAGGTGTCGCAGCTGCTTCATCGTCGCGATGCCAAACGGCTCGTCGACGAAAAAACCTCGAGAATCTGGGTATGTATGTACTGTTAGCTTGAGTCGCTTCAGCTGCGTGCACGATTTGGCAATGGCGAGGACGATTTCGCCACAGGGTTGGAAATTTCGGACCGAAATTTCGGTCATTTCGGTCACCTACGATACGATATTATTTCAGCTGAAAATTTTCAATTTTTCATGAATTTGATAAATATTTGTTCAAATTCAACTAAATTTTGCTCAAAATTTCGGACCAAAATTTCCGAAATTTCAGGATTTCGGTGACCCCTGATACAAACACCTCAACCGATAGAGTGAACCCTGTTTCACCACCGATAAATCCACCCTCCTCGACGACGAGGTCCTCTAGACAGGGACACTTGCTGATGAACTCAGTGAATACTTTCTTGGAGATATCGAGGTACGAAAATAACGAAATAAGGGAAAGGCCCTTCAGAGAGGGTGACCTGCATGCAGGAAAAGCGTTATCTTAACATATGGACATATAAACGCATACTAAAACCTAAAATCTGGTCCTTTAAACAGTGCACCCTCCTTCCTAAATTGATCAATGATATAATAAAATTTAAAATTTCTCAAATTGATTATCATATAATCACATGCAGGGTGGATGCAGCATGGGGGCTATGGGGCCTCGAGCCTTTACTTCTGGGGGGGGGGGGGTGAGGACTATGCATGGGATCCCAGAAAATATTTTTATCAGACATAGATAGTAGAGGTGGCTGAAGCTTTGTTCTAATTTATTCAGACCCTCCTACTATTACTTTTTGGATCCACCACTGATTGTATGGACACGAATTTTATCGGAACACAATTAATACAACATAGAAGAATGTGTGTGTGCTAAGATGTAATTGGTCTGGTGTTTCGATGCATGCATTGTGGGAGAATATGTGCGATTTAAATTATATTTGATTTTGGTGCATAAGCTTATATAATAATTATTTTGGGATAGAGTGCGTATGTGTCTAGAGATAATTTGTACTCCACTAACTACACAATAAGTCTAGTATTGAAACAAAATTAATTACCTATCCCCAATATACTGAAGCAACTCATCATTAACAAATCCGTACCCCTCGAACACCTCAAGTCGCCCATCGGAGCGGTCCACGGCCACCTTCGCCATTGCGCGCATCACACCGCTGTTCGTTCAAGCAGATATTAATTCATGCGTTGTGTATTAAAATTTTGAATTCTTTTCATCAAGACAGGATCTTTGCAACATGAAGTTTGTAATCGCACGCGCGTAATGCTGGGACATATAGATGTAGATGTCAAATTGAGAATACCTGTCCTCGATGTACTTGCGTCGCTCATAGTATTTGACAAACTCCATTGCGGGCAGGTCCACGGCGGGCGGCCTAGCCAGTACGCTCAGCAAATGACGGACCAACGGGTCCTTCGTCATGACATCGTGATGCGCCATTGCATGTCGATGCATCGCCACAGGTGAGGCAGCTTGGCCGCGTTAAGCCATGAGCTGCACAAGCGGCCGGCGCCCATGAGGAGATCGACGGCGTGCAGATTGGCGAAGACGACGGAGAGCGCGTCCAACGGCAGCTCCGACCAGTCCCTCGTCTCCGGCGACGGCAGCGGCAGTTCATCGTTCATTTCAGTGATTCACAACGACCGGCCGGCAAGGCAGCAACACACCTGAAACTGAAAACGAATGCAGAAATGTAAAGAGGATTAGCACCTTTATTAGTACTAATGGAAGCAGACCAATGATTCAACAAAGAACCAGAAATATCACAGCTCTGCTTGCTCGCCGCCACAGTTGGCCTCGGAGGAGATTGTATTGTAGAAGCTTGGCTTCGTTGTTCTCCGTTTATAAAGTGCGATCGAGGTGAGAGTGACGAAAACCTTTCCAACTTCCCTAGGCTGCATGATCAATGAGTTCATTAATTCCAAGTTTGGAAGACGAAAGGTTGGCATGGATCTGGAATCGAAGAGTACGACGGATTGAGCGATTGATTTTTGATCGGATGGATGGAGATGGAACGGCAACACAGCCGGTGGAAGTTCGAGGGCGCGGCGGGTCGGCGTTTGCGCGGGAAGATAATTTTTTGGGGGTGATATTGGCCTGATTTATAAGTGGGGGCCAATGTAAAAGTTTCTTTTTTAGATTCTCATACTCCATTTTATAAGGAATAATTGAGATCCGTACTTAACTGAGGCCTGGTTTACTTCCCCAATTTTTTTTTTCAAAAACATCACATTAAATATTTGGACACATGCATAAAGCATTAAATATATATAAAAAAACTAATTGCATGGTTACAGGGAAAATCGCGAGACAAATCTTTTGAGCCTAATTAGTCTATAATTAGTCCACGTATGATAATGACGGATTAATTAGGCTCAAAATATTCGTCTCGCGGTTTTCAAGCGAGTTATGAAATTAGTTTTTCATTCGTGTCCGAAAACCCCTTCTGACATTCGGTTAAACATTCGATGTGACACCCAAAAATTTTCTTTTCGCAAACTAAACAGGCCCTGAAACTTGCTGGCCATCAGAAACACACAAATGAAGCAGGAAAATGAGAATGTTCATCTAATCATCTTGGATTCAGAAGTACGTCCAGTTCGCCAAACATAGCACTGAAGTGCCTCTCTTCTTAATTAATAGAGCTGACTGGTAATTAACAAACCTCCTAACAACCTTATCTAATAAACCTAACAAACTAATTAGGACATGTACAATGGTCTTAATTAGCGGTCTCTCTTTATTGTCATGCAAGCATATTTGATGACGTGGAAGAGAGAGGAAGAAGGAAAGAGAAAGATGATTGCTACGCATGACAACAGTATAGAGTCGACTCTTAGCATTTATTAAGAAATTTTTCGTTGCATTGAGTCTAATAAAGGAAAGATGACTAGTAAGAAAGTATTTTGGTACATTAATGGTTAGAGACCGTATTGTCTTAACTATTGTAACGTGATAGCCTCTAATTAACGTAGAGACAATACCGGTGTCTACCATTGTACTTGCCCTTAGAGGGGCTGAGTTCCATCTATAACAACCTAACGCTAATCACTACTTAAAAGGGTACCTTTAATGCTGTTACCTTTTTTTCGATGGACAAAATAAGAAACATTTGTGAAAATACAATTGGACGTCCCTGGTTAGTAACCGCCTGTGAAAGTCTATTTTACAAGCGGACGTCTTAAAAGGGCCGCTTGTAAAAATAACACTATTTTTCCTAGCGGTTGGCTAAGAGCACCGCATGTAAAAATCTATTTTCGCAAGTAATTCTCTTAGCTAGCCGCCATACAAAATGAACTCCAGGTGCAATAAAAAAGAATGGCCCTATACTCTCTATTATCCTTATCGCCTCCCTCCCTCTATCCGAACAGTTCTCTCTCCTCCCTCGCTTCCTCTCGTGCGATCCCTCCTCTCACCTCTCCCAGCCTCTAGGCTGCGGTGCACCCAGTAGGTGACGAAGCTCGGCGGCGAATCCGAAGGTGTGTGGGCGGTGGATCCGGCCTACCTGACACATTGGGGTGCTCTACCGTGTTGGTGTAGGGGTGTACAACACTCAGCGCTCGAGCACTCGGGTAGTTTGAAGGCATCGGACGCTCCCATACCAGCGAGGGGACATTGCGTAGGCGTAGCTTTGTGTGATGGAAGGGGGACACCTGGTGCCGAGATGACGCGCGGTTGCTGCTTGGGATGGGATATTAAGTTGACATCAGTTTCCTCTTGGGTGGCAGCTAGCGAATTGAAGAGGGGATTTGAGAGCAATATCCTTGTTCTCCTGATTATGTCAATTAGTGATGGACAATAGCATGTGGACAAGCCCGAAGGCCGTGCGGATCTGGGAGACCATTGCGGTGGGGGTAAGAAGCAAATTAGCTGAGATCTGGGAGTCGACAATAGAGGAGGTGCTGGCTTTGATGGTTCCGGAGTGAGGCCACAGCCGGCAATAATGAAGACAAGGGCCCTAGGTGTCCGGCCAACGATAGAGCCCTAGATATGCTCCAAGAGCAGTGAGGAGAGCCGACGAAGAAGTTAGGCCGAGCTGCACACCGCTGCTAGCCTTGTCGCTCTGCCCCACGTCGATCGCGGGTCGCCACTAGAGGCTGTGGCGCTGAGCTTGCCCTCCGGCACAGATTCTTCTCGTCTCGCCCACTGGCGTTTGCTCCTTTGTCTCGCACCGGCTTCCTTAAAGCCACAGGAACGGATCTAGAGGCTATCACTTCTTATCTCTCCCACCGTCGTCTGCTCCTCATCGAGCTCCCAGTAACCGGTAGTGCACCCTCGTTGAGCCCCTGTGCCACCAATGGCCTCCTCGAGGCACCACGCCAAGTCTTCCTCTGCCCTGACTTTACCTCTTCACCACCACCGCCACGTCACCATCTCTACTAGCGGTGCTATCTCGTTCTCCCCCCACATGATAGTGCTGTTGGTTGACATCAGCGCCAAAGTCGAAGAAGCCAATGAGGTTGACTAATATAGGCCACAAACGAGGAGAGGATGCATATGTAACAGAGATGACAGAAAACTATACAGTGATAGCATAATTTCAATTTTATAAATTTTAGTGCCACCTAACAGATATCGCAAATAATAATAGTACTTTTCTAACAACACATTTATAATGGCATGAATCAAATTAATCCTCTTCGTAAATTTACCACTCTGTCATAACTGGCGTTACCAAGAAAAATGGGACAATGCACCATCATGATGATAACTTATAGAGCAGGTACAATAGCAGGCTATATTAGCTAGCTGTAAACATATTTTAATAAGATAAAAGATGAGAGAGAAGAGCAGCGAGCTACAGATCTGTAGCCAGCTGCAGCGCGGATTCCAAGACGCAATGTGTGTATGACGGGTGGAACCATATATTAATAGTATAGTAAGCAACTATTGTATGAATTAGCTATTAGATTGGTTATAGATGAATTGGAACTAGTAGTGGGCTATACTATTAAACTTGCTCTTGATGCCGTGACCTATCTGGTCATCATCGCACTACTAAAAATAGAAAACTTTAAATTAACCCAAGTCGTCAATAATAAGCTGTGAAGAACTCATCATCATCATCTGCAAGGTAGTACAACTGATCAAGTGTAGCCATAGCATCAGTAGCAGAAGAGTAGGAGGGCAGCTTGAGCGTCTTGATCCTGGCACACTTGGCACGAAGGGCGTCGTCGACGACGTCAACCGCGACACACTCGCTTGCGTCAAGAAGCTCCAGGTGAGGGCAGCTATCAACAAATTTCGTCAGCGTTTTCCTGCTGATGTAGAGGCTGCCAAGAGCGATCTGCCGCAGCTGGTGCATCGTTGGGATCACAAGTGGATCGTCGAATTCGTCGGACAAATCAAGGCCGCCGCGTAGCACGAGGTCCTCCAGCAGTGGAGTCATGGCCATCAGCTGGGTGAGTCCTGTGTTGGAGACCATGGAGCATGAGTCGAGGCAGAGGCTCTTCAGACCGGGCGACCTGAAAGCAGGGTTGAAATTATCGTTTTCAGTATTTGTATTGGGGTACCGATATTGCCAAAATTTGGTTTAGTTTGAACAAATTTTGGAAAATTAAAAAAAATCTAAAAATTTCAGCCGAAATAATTTCATATCGGATGATCCAGTAGAACAGAAATTTCGGTCTAAAATTTTAAACGCTGCCCGAAAGTATACGAATGAAATGAAATTTATTATCCCAGCCAGATTATTTGGATTTTGCAGCTTATGAACAAATCGTGTACCTGTGCCCTATATACTTGAGAAGCTCATCGTCAACAAAATACATCGCCTTGAACACCTCAAGCCGCTCGTCAGAGCGATCCACGGCCACCTTCGCCATTGCGCAACACACTGCATCGTTGCGCACCACCTGCGGTATGTCGACGCATCGCCACAGGTGAGGCAGCTTGGCCGCGTGGAGCCATGAGCTGCACACGATGCCGGCGCCCATGAGGATCTCGGCGGCGCCGAGCTTGGCGAAGACCACCGAGAGAACGTCCACCGGCAGCTCCGACCAGTCCCTCGTCGTCGTCGTCTCCGGCGGCGTCAGCTCCGGCACCGGCATCAGCATGGCGTCTGACCGCGCCCGCCGGCCATCGCGGCCGCTTCCCTGCCCGCCGGCCACCTGCGCCACTCACCCGCGTCGACGGAAAGAGAAGAACAGAGAAAAAAAAAAGAAGGTTTGAGAAGGGTAGAGAAAAAATGGAGAAAAGACTGAAATATAGTGCTTCAGATATAATATAAATGTATGGTAGTTGAAAAATATTACTAAAATATAGAAAGGTATGATATGGGGAATATAATATGGTTGATCTGTTGGAGTGGGAAGAGATACGAAGAAGGAATTTTATTTGGATGACCATCCATATAAGCATATGGAGTATCAAATTTAGATGAGCTGTTGGGGATGCTCTTATTGTCCTAGAACGAACACCTGAAACTAGAAAAACATGAGCTATATTAGTACGTAGTTTTAGTTCTGTTGACCGATCAACAAATGAATCCTCGAATTTAGATAGGAGTAGATGGGAAGGTTACATGCCATGTTTTGATTCAGAGAAGATGAAACGTACTCAGGTGATGTTTGAATCCATGGTCTAAACCTTAGACCCTGTTATATTAGATGAATTTAGAGTATTAAACATAGACTACTTATAAAATTAATTACATAAATGAGAGCTAATTCGTGTGATAAAATTTAAAAGCCTAATTAATCCATAATTAGCCCGTGTTTACTGTAGCATCATATAGACTAATCATGGATTAATTAGGCTCAATAGATTTGTCTCACGAATTAGTCCAAGATTATAGATAGATTTTATTAATAATATACGTTTAATATTTATAATTAGTGTCAAACATATAATAGTGTGATAGGTACTAAACAGAGTCTCAATCTGAAACCTGTGCAGAGGCAATGTGTATTGGACACCGGCCATTTATAAGGGCGAGCTGATGAGACGAGAAAACCTTTTGGACTTCTAGAGCTGCAAGGAGAAATTAATTGGAAGAGGAAAGGCTGGCTCGGGAAAGCAACACGGTGGGAACTGGGATCGGAGTTATTGTTTCGGGCTTCCATCGGTTGGCCTAATCAGAAAAAAAAAGGGCTAAATTTTGAATTTTCAAGCTTAATTTTGATATTGATTTTGAGATATTTTCAACGTAGTTTCTTTTTTAATATTGACTTTTAAGTCATCAAGAATATATTTATAAAAGTTTTACGTACAAATTTATTTTTATTTATACAAATTCATCGTAGAAATAAGGCAAACGATGAGGACCTCGTTCTCCTGCAGCGTGCTGCCTATTGTGTTCTGCGCAGGGTTGACTTACATTTTTAATGCAAATTTTGGAGGGAAGGAAAAAGTAGTTTGGGACAAATTTGTACAAGTTTGAACAAAATTTTGATATTTAAACCTTTTTCTTTTCTTTTTAGCGAATTTGAGCAAATTTTCGCTGATACATGATCACTATAGACTATAGTTAGTAACTACACCCTGGGTGTGTTTGCAAGAGCAAGTTCCCAACACTTCCCTCTCGTTTTCCGCGTGCACGCTTTTCAAACTGCTAAACGGTACGTTTTTTGAAAAAAGTTTCTATACAAAAGTTGTTTAAAAAAATCATATTGATCCATTTTTTAAAAAAAATTAGCTATTACTTAATTAATCACGTGTTAATGGACCGCTCCGTTTTTTCGTGGATAGGAGATGGGTTCCCAACACCCACCTCCAAACACAGCCTTCCATACCACAGAAAAAGGTCAATACCAAAAAAAGAATAACAGAAAAAAATCCCCCTTCCGATCAAAAGCATATGCCCTTGTTTTAAACTTTTTCTTCAAACTTCAAACTTTTCTATCACATCAAATTTTTTCTATACACATAAACTTCCAACTTTTTCTGTCACATCGTTCTAATTTCAACCAAACTTCCAATTTTAATATGAACTAAACACACCCTATGTCACTAGATTTGTTTCGCAGTACTCCCGTCACATTTGACGTTCATATATGTGAGTTGGGATGGACAAATTGCTATTTTCCCCTTGCTCCTCTATGTATAGCATTGTGACTTGGTTCAGCTGCACCCATGCCAAACCCCAGCAGCCTCGTCGACCTAGAGGTCGCCACCACCAGGAGTTCCCTACATTCTTCCTAGAGCAATTCCGGGTTGTCGCCCACGGCGCCAACCATCGGGTCCCCTCTGCCCCCACCACTGCTGAGTCTCAACGGCGCCACCAGCTTCGTCTCCGTTCACCGGGTCACTAGCCTCCTCACCCCCTCTTGGGCCTCTGTGTCTACCCTCCTTTGCACGCAGTCGTCATTGGCGGTCCCTTCTTTTTCGTCAGTCCCCGTCCGTCGCCCCATGGATCTTGGTTCCTCTGACTAGCCCACCTTCGAGTAGTGCTTTCGTGGTCGAGGCCATTGGCACCGGTCATGCAGTCGCCACCTCACCATGACCGCTCGACATGCCATCGGGATCTACACCGTCGTTGTCTCCTCCCGTACACCGCTTGCTTCAACTGTTCAACACCATTCTCTGGCTCCTTCCTTCTCATGCCCTCCTGGAGCGCACACCCCTCGCTCTCGTACGGTCGTACCTCGCGGGTGGCGTCACCGCAAGTGAAGTGGCTGAGAGCACAACGACATCTCAAGTTTATGTTTGGCTAGAGTAAAGGGCAAATTCGCCCATTCATGCCCTAAATCATGGTTAAACAGTTGATCTGAATAGCTAATGTGACACTAAGTGCTACAAATTGAATAAAAAATAATGGCATGTGTTTATGGTTGGAACTTGAAAAATTTTGTGCTATTTTTTTGGTACTGGACTTTTTTCAGTACTATAGATAGAATTTTCTCTTCAATGACCCTCGGAACTTATAAAACAACCTCTTTCAAAAAAAAAGTAATAAAGAGAAGAAAAGAAAATCGCCATGCTAGAATGAAAACTGCTATATTTGTTGCCAACTTTTTTGTTAACATTAGTGACGGAGCTTGGGGCTCCTCACCGGGAGACCGCGCAGGCCCCCCTTTGCCGGTTCGGCCGGGGGCGCTAAGTGAGGTTCTTCGCCCTCGATCTGAGGAATGTCAGCGAGAAGAATCGCACAAGACACGGGTGACGTAGACAGGTTCGGGCCGCTGAGAAGCGTAATACCCTACTCCTGTGTTCTGGTGGATCTGTGTGTGAAGGAATACAGCTCGAGAGAACCAGAGAGAGCTCAGGCTCTAGAACCAAGTGGCCAGAGTTCAACCCCCCTCTCCTAGGCCTGGGCCTCCTTTTTATGTGGTCAGGGGTCACCACATGGGCCTCTAGCTGCCTAAGAAAGGAAACATGCTTTTTACAATGAGGGCTAGTCTACAGCCAGAAGTGACCTCTGACAAGCACAGCACACGCCTTCTGCTCCGCTCGTCAGCTCTCCCGGTGGACGCCCGTTTCAACCTTCATTCAATGGCCAGCGACTTTCTTGCTATGCTTGTGCTCAAGCCTAGAATGGATCTGACCGGGACTGACATACCAACTCCAGGAGTCAGCACGCCAGCTCCGGCTAGAGATGAGAGCCAGGAAGCTCTCATCATTCCGACGGGACGGGGCGAGGCGTGCGACAGGCCGCCTATTGCCACCTAACCCGCGATCTGACCGGTCTGTGACCGGTCACATACCGCGACTGGTCACGGACCGGATAAGCGTGCGCTACACCGCATTAAATGCGGCGTGGCGCGCTCGTCCAACCCGCTATAAATGCGGTTAGGTGAGCCCCGCTGGGCTCACCTATCCCACACACGTGGCGCCAAAACCACAGGGGGTCGGGGCGTCCCAGCCCTCGGGGCTGAAACGGGAGCGGCCCGACCCCTCGGGGAGACAGAGGGAGGGGTGGCCACGTCACCCTCAGGCCCGACCCCCCCGAGGGGGTCGGGCCACGTGGGTGATCGCGGCTACCCAAGCCTCTAGTCACGATACCCCCGGCCCCATGTCACCGACAGTAGCCCCCGGCGTTACGCCAGGGCGACCGCCCCCCTCGAGGGAGGCGCTCGGGCGTGACGCCACTCCTTAGGCCTTGTGACAGGTGGGGCCGGTCCCTGCAGGCGGGCGGGAACCCAGCGGTCGCAAATCGCGCGCATCGGCAAGGGGAAACCGACCGACAATAATGAGCGGCCTCTTCAAAACCGCTACATTACTCGAGCGGCGCGCGAATTGGGACGAGCCGGTTCGTTTCGCCTGGAGACATGATGATGGCGCTTTTCACGGTTGGCGAGCGTAGTTAATGCGCACACGATCTGTCCCATCTCAACCGCCACGGCCGCACATATGCCGCGTGCGCCGCAAACGGGCGAGTGGGGTTAGTGGAGGCGCGGGCGTGAGAAACGAGGGGGCGAGATAGTGGGCGCGGGAAACGAGGAGCCGGGCATAGCGTTGGCAAGGGTATAAAGACGCCGAGGAAGAGATTCGTTTCCTTCCTCTCGCCACTATTCCCCTTGCCTTCGCCACTTGCGCTCTAACTCCTCATTTCCTGTGCCCTACCCTTGCCGCACTCGCTCGCTCTCAAGCTCCTCCTCCGCCGGCGTCATGGCACGGGGCTCCGTACCGCTCGACGGTAGCGTGCTGCCGCCTTCCCGCATCGTGAGCGAGAGGCAGGCCGGGCTGCCGCGCCGATTCATGCCGGAATCTGCCACCGGCCGGGAGGTGGTCGCGCTGGGCAAGGGACGCCCGGCGCCACACTACCCGGGGCGGTCCGTCTTCTTCCTCTCTTTCGCAATGGCGGGGCTGGTCCTGCCGTCGCCACCCGGGAGGCAACACTGGCGGCGCACGAGGCCGCCTGCGCCGAAGAGGAGTCCGCACTCCGCCTCCGCGAGGACGAGCTCACCGAGCGGGGGCGAGCTCTCGAGGAGGCCGAGGCCGCGGCGCAGCGGCTGGCGGACAGCCTGTTCCTCCGCGAGGCAGCGCGGGAGGAGCAGGCGCGCCGCAATCTGGAAGGCGCCCGTGCCGAGAGGGCCGCACTGGATCAGCGGGCCGCTGAGCTCGAGGCGCGGGCGAAGGAGCTGGACGCGAGAGCGCATAGCGGCGGGGCGGCCGCGGGCGACGGCGACCTAGCCGCCCGCCTCGCAGCCGCCGAACACACCATCGCCGAGCTGCAGGGCGCGCTGGACTCGTCCGCCGGGGAGGTCGA